AATGTACTTTGTACTTTAAAAGGACCTACCGAATATGCTGACACCCAAAGAGTTTACCGAATAATACCCACAATATACCGAATAATTTCGAAACAATTTCGTTATGTTATTTTGAATTTCTTGGTACAATGGGTGATTGCGGCTTGCATTGCTGGCAATGTGGCTGCTGGTTATGTTACATCTTTGTGTGTACATAAATGTTTGTATGTGTGTGTGTCTATGACATTTTATGGAAATAATATTCTTGTCAGGATTAAAAAGGATACGTGACTAGAAACATTAAACTAAACATAACTATTTGAAACAATGAATATCCAGAAAACGACAGGCAGGAGACTATTGGCAGAGCAAATGGTTTGATATTCGGAAGGACCAGTAGCTACCAGAAAAAAAACTAAACAAATAAATGACAAACCGGAGTACTACAAAGTGAAAACAGATCTTCCACATTTACAGCGGCTGAGTGGATGAGTCAAGGCAACATGAATTAGCTTTACCCTTGGCAAAGAAACAATTTCTTTGCATCGGAAGCAATGTTTGGAATTGCAAACATCATTGCGAAGGATTTTGAGTTAGGAGTTCGTTTTTTGTTGCTCTTGTTGTTTGACATCCCACGTTATTGTCGATGATGACAATGGTGAGTTTGAAATAGGCCTTATATGTGAGGGTGCGAGTGTGTGTGAGTTGGGGGTTATGCAAAACTAGAAGACATTTTTTTGCTACATTTTTTTTATATTCTCAATGTTAGGAATATTGCCGTTTTTTAGTTCATAACTGGCATTTGTGGGATATGTACATGTATTGGTATGTGTGTGTAGGGGTTTGTAGTGTAGTTCCTTCATATTTTTTTCGGAAGTTCAGTCACATTCTCCAACATTTGATGGTTGCATACAAATGTTTCAAATATGAAATTGTTGCCCCACAATGTTTGTTTTTCCCCCAGTTATTTTTTCTTGTTGCTACAACCGATGAGAGCCATCTATTCAACATTCCTGGATAATGTCCCATATCATATGGCATCTCATCATCCATATCTACATCGACATGACATTGCATAGCATCATGTTCCACATACCATAGCTATGTTTGTCCCGTCACTTGCTCGCTGGCTTGCATGCCGCATATTTTTGTTTGAGATGATGACGATACGTGTATTACTATCACGTATCATTTCATTTGTTTCTCTTCTGTCGTTGCCGTTGTTGTTGTTATATGTGTGTTTTCGTGTTATTATTTATACACGGAGATTCGAATCATTCTCCATGTTACAATTTCATTGCCTACCCTGCAAGTTTTTTCGTAAAAAAAAATACTCCATAAATCTTTTTCAAAGTCGGATGTAAAATGTATTTTATAATATTTTCTTCTAGCTGTTCGCCTACCACACAAAATTTCTCATCTAAGGGCTCACAATGTTTTGAGTGTAAAAATGACTAATACCATACTTTTTATTTAAAATGTTAAATAATCTAAGTACAAATGTCCGTACAACCACAATTACACATATTAGAAACCAATAAAATCATTGTGAAGGCATTGAAGACCATTTTAAACTTTCTAAACCGCGATTGATCGTAGCGAATTGTATTCTATATTTAAGATCTCGAAGACCATTAGATTAGAAAGTCTATCAGATATTGTGATTGACTTAAGATAAGTGTTTGTAAACTATGAGTGTAAAATATTACCAACACAAGAGTTTTTGCAAAGTTTCCTCGACAATTTCCTGATTTACAACGCCTGTAACAAGACCAAGATCAATCACTGATTATTTCTTGCGACCATCTGTAATTGTAGTAGTCCTGATTTACAACGATATCGGAGACGATCCAAAGGATGTAGCAATGACGTCCACACAACAATAACAAGGCCAGTCTAAATGGAAGGATCATTCATTGAAAATTTATTGCGAATACCAGGAATAGTTCTTGACAACCACATGAATTTGAGTCCCACCATCGAGTAGTTTCGATGTAACTTCAATCTGGTGAAATCAAAAAGAATAATCTGATTATATCATGATCCAGGAATGCTTCATGACAACCTTTAATTTGAGTTCCACCATTGAGTAGTTTGGTTATGTGTCTGCAAACTTTTGGGAAGTATACCATTACAAAGGATACAGGATCCGATGATATCTGGGGATACTCAAAAGATTTACCAACAAGGTCCGGCACCAGGAATGTTTCTTGAAAACTTCAGATTGTTAGCAACACATGAATTTGAGTCCGACCTGCGAGCAATTGAGATATATTTCTCCGGAATAACATAATTACAAATTAATCACCCAAAGCGAATGAAATGAATACATAAATGGGTTCAACTCCGTTTTCTGAAAATCTAAACTACAAGAAGAAACTTTTGAGCAGCTCTTTCAATCTGAAAGACCATTTCCTGCAATGCCTGCAGAAGGCCTTCCCCTTCTGCGTGAACCATTGGTTGGCTCGGTTTTATATGCCTTTTGAACTGGGGTATCCTCATCCATTATCACAACATGACGTAGTCGCTGCAGCTGGATACGTCTGACTATTCCGATGCCCGGCGATATTCAACATCAAGGCAGATCGTCCCGTAGATTTTTCGGAGAATTTTTCTCTCAAACACTCCAAAGCTGCCTCTTCTGCTTCTTCTGCCTCCAATGCTTCATATCCATACAACAGCACGCTCGTCTTGTAGAGTGTGAGTTTGGTCTGGCGAGAGGCGGCCTTCTTTTTGAATTGCTTACTTAGACATAGTAGCATCTGTTGGCCAACACTATACCAAGGTATATGAAATCTTTGACTACCTCGAAGCTGTAGTTCTTAAGTTACACATTTGGTCCGAGTCTACTAGACTTCTTGCGCGTTGATACCATCAGCTTGGTCTTCTCGCCATTTACTGCCAGTCCCACTTTGGTAAACTCCTTCTCAATTTTTTCAAAGGTGGCTGTTACAGCTCGACCCATTATGTCGATGTCGTCGGGGTGGGCGAGTAACATATGCTGTTTGGTGTACAGATTGTCATTTCTGTTCATATTTGCATCTCGTATGACCTTTTCCAGCAGGATGTTAAACAGGTCACACGACAAACTGTCATATTGTCTGTATCCTCTTTCGGTATTAAGGGCTGTTAAAGGTCCTTTCCGATTTTAACAGCTAACCTTGTGACAGTTAAAGTTATCATGCATATCCGTATTAATTTTGCAGGAATGCAAAACGAGACATGGCTTTAAACACCTCTGAGCGCATTGGGCTGTCGAATGAGACTTTGTAGTCCACGAATGGATGGAATCTGGTCTCTGGTGGATTTACCAGGTCTGAAGCCACATTGATAAGATCATTGACCATTCGCTTCAGTCGCTGGATAGCAATTGATATGCTATGGGAAGCAGACTAATTCCTCTATTGTTGGTAAATATCGTCTTGACCTTTTTTTGTGCACGGGATACAGGATGCTGAGGTACAAATCATTGGTCATGCATTCCTCTAGCCAAATTGTACTAATCAGCTGGTGCATGCTTCTGATCAGCGTCTGACCACCGGACTTGAATAGTTCGCCTGGTTATCCATTCATTATTATTCTTCAGCCGATTAATTGCTATTCTGACCTAATCTTGGCTAGGTGGTATACTATATACCATTTCATTTCATATTGGTTCTGGGGTATCTTCTTCACTGTTACTATTTGATACCAGAAGCTTTGCAAAATGCTCCTTCCAGATCCTCAACACGCTGTCTGTATCTGTCACCAGGTTTCTTTCTTCATCCCTAGTGGGGGTTGGGCTCGCATCAAAGCCTTTGGTTTGGTGTTTTACTCGTTGGTAAAATTTCCGGACTTTATTCTGACTCCAGCACATCTCTTTTGGAAATACGTTTCTCCTCACTCCATTCTCCCAATAATTCTCTCTCGCATTGATGTTGCTACTGTTTGCAGGGTTGCTCTATACGCAGGGTTTACATTAGATCACAGCATTGCTGCTAAGACGGGTGTGAACCTTGGCTGGTACAAGGTAATGGTCTGAATCGATATTTGCTCCTCGGATCGATCGAACGTCTAAAACACTGGATGAATGCCTACCGTCTATCACAACATGATCAATTTGATTTCATCGGGAGAAATCCACATGGCCTTGTGTATATCGAGATGGTTGAATCTGGTGCTGCTAACTACCATGTTTTTTGGTGCCGCGAAGTCAATCAACCTCATGCCGTTGTAGGATGTTTCTTCGTGGAGGATGAATTTTCTGACAGTGGGGCCAAAAATGTTTTCCTTTCCGATTTTTGCATTAAAATCTCCTAGTAGAATTTTAATTCCATGACCAGGGCAGCGGTCATATGCTGTTTCTTGGCGCTCGTAAAATAAGTCTTTGGTCTGTTCATCTTTATCTTATGTAGAAGAACTTCGCTTTTATCTCAACTACTGGAGTGAATCTGGAGACGAGGTCTTAATTCTCATATTCATCATACTTTTGTATTGTACTGTTTGTTCCACTGTATTATATAATTATTTCCACTTTCAATTTGGGTCCCTCACATTGTCATGCTTTTAATTTTGTTTACTTTTATGACGTCACACAACTATAAAACAAGTGCAAACTTAGGAACATTATTATAATCAGGGTGTGATGCGTATGTTTGTATGATTAACCAACCCCATCCACTGAGTATGAATTGTTTTCAGTAATAAAAAAAAAGAAATGACTAATCCATTGATATTTATAAGTTAAAAATAAAGAAAACTACTTCCTTGACAATGTCATTGCTTTAATATTTTTGATTACGCTCCAAAAAAATACAAGTGAAGCAAACAAAAAAGAGTCCAACAATTTTCTTGTTGTTGTTATTATTGTCATTTTATGCGATAAGAAGTAAACCACAAGATAAAAATGTGGCCATTTCGTATAAAATTCATATTGACAGCTAACAGAAGTTACAGTATTAATTAAACGTTCGATTAGTGCAGAACAAAACGAATACGACATAAATTAATAATCGAAAAAAATTAATAATCACAAAAGGAAAATGTACGGAAAAGTGTTGTTGTGTTTAACTTTTGTCGCTGCTGTAACATTGCCATTGGGTAAATAAAAAAAAATGAAAATGGAAACATTTTTCGGCAACTTTAAAGTGAATGTGAAATTAATGGTTTTTATGTTGTTTATATATTTATTTAGCAAATTCTTTGAAATGTTACGAATGTCGTGATGTCAATTCCTGCAAAAATCCCAGTACAGTGGAATGTAATCAATCCAATGCCAATGCTACACGTGATGCTCTTTTGAATATCTATCATAATATTCAAATAACCAATAGCACACAGTATTCATGCTATGTTGGTATTTATAGCGGTGGTAAGTGATGTGATATTTATAAAAAAAACATTAAATTTATTTAAATTGTGCTTGTGAAAGTAAAAATATTAAAAAATAAGTTTATTGAGTATATTCAAAGCTTTAAGCTATATATTATATGAATATATTCAATAAATTCAGTTTTTATTCAAGGGCCTAAATTAAATTTATTTGTTATACACAAGTATATATATATTTTTTTTTTAATAATAAGTATTAATCAATCTCTTTTTTTATAGGCAACACTACAGTTTCCGATGTCCGTGGTTGCCTTCCCTCGAATGCCGTCAGCTGCAGTGCACCCCTTGTAAATTCCACTTGGGTAAAACACACTTGCAATATCTGTTCCCAAGATTTATGCAATAAGAAAAATTCCGTCGGTACATTCTCATCCAGCATTGTAACCATGATTGGTCTTTTGTTTTTGGCTAAAGTATTTCTAAATTAAAAAAATCGTTAAAAATTTTTTAAATTATATTTATAAGTCAAAATAGTATTATTATAATTATTGGTTTGTTAATTATTATGTATATAAATTAAATTACCAAAAAAGAATTGTTATAAATGTTATAATCTCAAAAACAAAAAATTATAATTTAAAAATAAAAATTTATACGAAGCCACAAGACAACAATGGGTATTATTTGAAATAAAACGAGAAAGGAAATAACTCCCTCCTAGATGTCCATAATGACCATATATTTTTGAGTGTCAGTCGCAATATTTTAGGGGAAGATTTGAAATGTATTAAATTTGTCATTCCGTTCGAAATATTCGTCGAACACCTTTAAAGGTATAGTCATATCCACTTGCAAAATTCAAGACATAGCTTTTTATACCCTTCACCACACTGGGGTATTATGTCTTTGTGCAAATGTTTGTAACAGGCAAAAGGAAACAAGATAGACCTATGGTTCCTTTTGATAATATGCATAGAACCACTTTCTGAGGCGATTTATGGTTTTCCGTCCGTCTATTGATGTTCAATTGTAAACAAAGTACAGGTCGCATTTATAATCCGAATGAGATCAAAATTTAGCACAGATCACTTATTTGGTCCGATTTTATGTAAATGGTGCCCACCAGTGCCCTTATATTTCTTTCGATTAAGATGATTAGTTAAAATCGGTTCAGATTATGATGTATCTCCCATATATATGTTCCTCCATATATATTTTTGTCCGATTTTAAGGAGCATCGAAACCCCTGAACCTCTTTCGATTTAGCGTGTCAAATTGAGTCTATTATGATGTGTGTGATGTTTCGTTAAAATCGGTTCAGATTTAAATTTAGCTCCCATGTATATTTTCGTCCGAAGAGATGCTTTTTTGGAGAATTTTATAATATTTCGTATCTCTACCAGATCCCTCCGTACGATTTTTTGTCCTTAGGAGACCTGTAACACTTCAGTTCTTTTTAGGAGGCCATTACAAGGCGTGTGTAACTATTGTGGCCATCTAGACTTGGAGAAGTTTTCCTCTTTCGAGAAGTTCTATAAAAGTTATTTCTTTCCTGCACCTGTGAGAGGATATGAAGAATTCAACAGGCACGTGTCTTGATTTCTGGGGAAATACCTGATTCTCCTGGGAAATACCTGATTCTCCTGGGAAATACCTGAACATATGTTATCTATAGTTGAAATGGAAAACACGTGATGTCTCTAAGAAGGCTCTGAAAATTGTGTTGTTTCAAGAGACGTCTAAACGATACGATGTTTTTAGACTATTTTTGGTGATTATTTAGAAGCATTGGTATCCGTAGGAGACCTCTAGAAGTTTAGATGTTTATAGGAAAATATTAGAATGCCTGTAGAAGGTTTGGTGCCCTTCCAAATCTAGAGAACTTGTCCTGTTTCGAGTTCTTTAGAATTTCTTTCTGGTACTTTGTACAGGATCTTATACATTCCGAAAGAGTTAGTCGCAGACTTTCAGATGATCTAGGGGTTCTCACTTTCAATTCGGATACGGATGTGACAACGACTTCCCCTGAGTATAGCACATAAACAAGTACTTTAATGAGATTGGAATATAAGTGGGCGATAGGATTACATCCTTTCAAGTCTGAATATAATTTCTTTCAATTAGGACGGCATAACTTACAATTGACGGGTCTACGAGTATTGTTACGTATGAGAGCAGAAATGCCTTCTATGTGCACCGAGTCGTCGTAATTGTTTATTTTAATCTTATCACAAATTAGGTGACGGAATTGAGTCATTCCCTCTGTCGTCAAGAATAGAGCTAGCAAATAAATTAAAAAAATCCCCATCTTACCATAATACACAAATTTTGCCAACATTTGCTTTAGTTGATTATAGTCACCCACCAATTATGTAGTACGATTTGTCTAATGTTCGACGATCTCCTCATAATTCAACAAAATTTCTTCCCAGTTAACATTTTTTGAGATGAGAGAACATTTTATAGACGCTGTGTCCATATCTGGAGAATTCCGTAATCGGTTTCTCATATTTTTGATATGATATATTGTATTTCCGAAGCAACATTTCCTTGTTTCAAAATCACCATCATCATATCCATATTTTTTTCGTTTACCAGTGCTCTGTCCGCAACCAATTTCATTTTTGCTCCAACTGTGTTCTTATCGACTTCAATAATTGCATACTTCATAGCAGTATCTAAAAATCATAGCAGTAAATTACTATACAGCTCGGTACAATCCTACCTAATATGTCAATTCGAATTGACGTTGGCCAATAATACCATAAATCATTGCTGTCAAGTACTTGTCTTTTCTTGCCCTATTTTTTATATATATGTCGGTTTTCTCTTTTTTTGTAAAAATATTTTTTTTATTAATTGTAAATACGATCGATAAGAGCAATTGTTTACTATTGATATTAATTGGGATCAACACTTATGTGAAGACAATAAAATCAATAATAAGTTGTGGCAAGGTAATATTAGTTTGCAGATTTATTTTGACAGGAATAGATAAGATATTGAATTTTAGTTCTTTTACCTTAATGTGAAACTATAAAAAGGTGGATGTTTAGTATACTAGCAGTAATAAAACTCTATGACATTTGCATGCCATCGTGATTTTCTTTTAGAGACAATTTTTAAATACGCACTAGTGAAATGAACTTATTGAATGCCAAATAAATTAAGGTAATAAAAATTATCGGGTCATGGATGAAGGAAACATCTAAATTAGATCCCTATAAAATAATTAAACAAATTAAAATTTAAATTTGATTTTTATTGATTGACTCCGTCCTTTATAACAATTTTTCAAGAAATCCCCACGCATAGTGCAGACAATCCTTTATAAAAATGTGAAGCTTAAAGTGGAAAAAGTCCTATGTAAAAATTCTTTTAAAAAATCCACGCTTAAAGTGGAAAAAGTCCTTTGTAAAAATTCTTTTAAAAAATCCACGCTTAAAGTGGAAAAAGTCCTTTGTAAAAATTCTTTTAAAAAATCCACGCTTAAAGTGGAAAAAGTCCTTTGTAAAAATTCTTTTAAAAAATCCACGCTTAAAGTGGAAAAAGTCCTTTGTAAAAATTCTTTTAAAAAATCCTCGCTTAAAGTGGAAAAAGTCCTTTGTAAAAATTCTTTTAAAAAATCCACGCTTAAAGTGGAAAAAGTCCTTTGTAAAAATTCTTTTAAAAAATCGCTTAAAGTAAAAATTCTTTTAAAAAATTTGTAAAAATTCTTTTAAAATATCCACGCTTAAAGTGTTGATAGTCCTTTGTAAAAATTCTTTTAAAAAATCCACGCTTAAAGTGTTGATAGTCCTTTGTAAAAATTCTTTTAAAAAATCCACGCCTTAAGGCCATTGTAAAAATTCTTTTAAAAAATTGATGGAAAAAGTTGTAAAAATTCTTTTAAAAAATGTAAAAATTCTTTTAAAAATTCTTTTAAAAATCCACGCTTAAAGTGTTGATAGTCCTTTGTAAAAATTCTTTTAAAAAATCCACGCTTAAAGTGTTGATAGTCCTTTGTAAAAATTCTTTTAAAAAATCCACGCTTAAAGTGTTGATAGTCCTTTGTAAAAATTCTTTTAAAAAATCCACGCTTAAAGTGTTGATAGTCCTTTGTAAAAATTCTTTTAAAAAATCCACGCTTAAAGTGTTGATAGTCCTTTGTAAAAATTCTTTTAAAAAATCCACGCTTAAAGTGTTGATAGTCCTTTGTAAAAATTCTTTTAAAAAATCCACGCTTAAAGTGTTGATAGTCCTTTGTAAAAATTCTTTTAAAAAATCCACGCTTAAAGTGTTGATAGTCCTTTGTAAAAATTCTTTTAAAAAATCCACGCTTAAAGTGTTGATAGTCCTTTGTAAAAATTCTTTTAAAAAATCCACGCTTAAAGTGTTGATAGTCCTTTGTAAAAATTCTTTTAAAAAATCCACGCTTAAAGTGTTGATAGTCCTTTGTAAAAATTCTTTTAAAAAATCCACGCTTAAAGTGTTGATAGTCCTTTGTAAAAATTCTTTTAAAAAATCCACGCTTAAAGTGTTGATAGTCCTTTGTAAAAATTCTTTTAAAAAATCCACGCTTAAAGTGTTGATAGTCCTTTGTAAAAATTCTTTTAAAAAATCCACGCTTAAAGTGTTGATAGTCCTTTGTAAAAATTCTTTTAAAAAATCCACGCTTAAAGTGTTGGTAGTCTTTTGTAAAAATTCTTTTAAGAAATCCACGCTTGTAAAAATTCTTTTAAAAAATCCACGCTTAAAGTAGAGGTAGTCCTTTGTAAGAATTCTTTTAAAAAATCCACGCTTAAAGTGGAGATAGTCCTTTGTAAAAATTCTTTTAAAAAATCCACGTTTTGGTCTATCAAAAGAGCACTGGATTGTACCGAAGCATTGTTATGCTTCAAATTTTTGGGTACCACTCAGATTTGATCGTTCTACGTTGCTCAAACGGAACAGTCTTGACATGTTTTGTTAAAAAATCAGGAGTATTTTGACTCTCCTTTGAATACCCCCGGTCGATTTATGTTTTGTCTCGGGCTCAAATCCCTGCGATGATCTCAAAAACCTAGTTTAAATGTATTTTAACCAAACGACACAAGTATATTTTGGTCATTTTTTGGGATATAAAGAAAACTTAAACGTTTGTTTTGGCCAACTATCTTTTGATTTGGCTCCTCTTCGAATACCTGTTTTCGATAAATGCCTATTTTGTTTCCGGCTCATACTCATAAGTCCAGATTTGTAATTTATTTTTACCAATAGAAAGAAGCGAAAAGGCTTTTTAAGCATTTGTCAAAAGTTGGTGGAAGAAATGTCCAAGGATGCTTCTATCTCACGATATGTCATCTGAGGTATTCTGAAATTCTCCAAAGCACTTGTTCGATCAGAAATTGTCGGATCTGTGTATAAGACTACAGTGTGTACAACCAACAGTCAGTAGTCCGGTCTCGCAGAGCATCAATGTTCTGTGGCACTCTTATCCCGATAATCCATGTTGTAAGTTTTCAGCAAA